ATAGCAGTAGATTCCCGTAATCAAGGCGCACGTTCCACCGCTTAGGACGGAAGGAACCGAGGAAAGGAGGTACCACCACGGACTTATATTCGTGGACCTTGTTATGTAGGAGAGTACCGTCAGTATGAGTGCACTAGTGAGGTAGCCTTTAAAAACATTTAGAGGTAATTATACAATTATTTAGAAAGCCTGACTGGTAATAATGTACCCGTAAAAGTGGTCAGCAGGATTGGCCGCCTTCCGAACTTGTCGGACCAGGGACCCAGGAACAGACTTGCAAAAGCTGGAATAATGCTCTCTAGCAAAGAGGTTGTCATCATAATATTTGCAGAGTACGTTTGTACTATCACTTCGACTTCCTGAAAAAACACAAGTTCACTTTAGTGCACTGAATAACTCTTTATCACGTTTTGAATGGATGAGTCAATATGCCATATCGCGTACGAGCAATTATAATTTAAACGCTTTCCTGAGCAAATACTCCGATACTGCTTCGAAATGCAGTAACAAAGGATTTTGCTTACTTCTGTTGCGGCCGCTGTAAGCCTTGGCTGCCGTTCTAATTACCTTATCTCTAGGCTCAAAACAATGGAATTTTTGCAATAGATTAAAACGATTTGCTAAATGTATAATGCTTTGTCACGTCAGATGCTGATATACAAAAGCACTAAGAATATGTAGGTACGTCTTCGAAGAATGCTTTAATTTCGGCGAGCCAAATGCTAAATACATTGTTTTCTTCAGCAGAGCTTAATAACAAAGAAGTATTGCGATAAATTACTTTTGTAACAAACTGTTTTTATAGTTACTAAATAATTTGTTGAAAATTTATATTTTTCTCATCGCCGCTATTCATAGAATCACAAACCGAAACGCCCAGCAAAGCAGCAAAAACAATTTCCACAGAGATAAAAACCGTTTAAACCAAAACCAGACACGAGAACAGCAACTACACAAAGTACAGATACCAAGGCTCTATGATATGTGTATACTATATGGTTATGGGTCGAATTATACACTTACTTTATCCGCGTCCGATCCGCGATCAATGCCCAGCAACGGTTCACATTGCGTGGCATTGAATTTCTCGATGGTAATGCAGGTCTGGTAGAGGATTTGATTCTGATAAACCGCCCCTAAAACGCACACAAAGTTAATTGAATGATGCACCCAACCGGATTTACTGCTCTGTAGTCGTCATACCAATTAAATATCTGGCGAAGAAGATTAAAAAAACTGCGGGCTCGAGGATGAACCATCGGTAGCTGCTGTAGTCATGAGGCGGGGGAACCGGAGACGGGTCCACCTGCTCACTGCTGGTCGCAGATGAGGCGTCCAGTATGCGTGGCGCCGTATCTTCGCCGCCAGCCTCCACATCGGCCACCAAGGCCTCCGTGTCAGAGCGTTGCATTATGCCGTTCCGTTCCCTATTTGGTAGTTATCGCAAAGGGAACTCGGGAATGCGTCTGGCTTCCACCAGTCTGCCGGAGATAATGGAATTAGCAATTCATTCACCAGAACGCTGCGCAGTTTCCCTGAAAGTCTTCCAAACGCGACGGCGGGTTTTTAGATACTGAAGCTTCAGCTGCTCTACTGCTGATTAACGCGGATTTATCGTTGCTTTAAACCCTGTTACATGTATTATATTCAACAGCACAGCTGGCTGGATTCTCCTCCCGCAGTTGACGTTGCTATTCGAAACTTTCTAAATACAAGCAGCAACAGCTGATTGTCTTCTTCTTCTGTGTTATTGTTTTGATTTCGATTTTCGATTCTTACTGCTAGGGATGCCAACTTGGGGCGAATTAAGAGAGGTTTGATTTTTTTGAGACTTTTTACTGGTTGGTTAGTTAATTCAATGAATTCTTTATTTTAGTAGCGTCGTCGCTCGCGCTCTCCTCGCGAGTCTCGTTCCCGCTGATCATGACGGCCACGGTCGCGTTCTCGATCTCGCTCCCTTTCCCGACGATCTCTTTCCCCGTTCCTCTCGCGCTCTCTTATTCTGTCGCGATCCTGACGCTCTCGCTCGCGATCCTGGCGTCCACTGGTCTGGCGACTGTCATAGTCCTCATTGTGGATGTCCCGATTGCGAACCCTATTACGCTGGCGGTCGTAGTCTTCGAGTTCGTCGTAGTAATCCCGAGAGCGGGCGTTGTTGCCCTGCCCAGATCTCCGCTCGCGCTCTCGACTGCGTGACCTGGACTTGGAGCGAGCTCTTCGCGGTCGTCGCACTGATGTAGAATTTTCCTTAGGCCGGTTGGTCTCGTCCGCCTTCTCCTCATCGCTGGGCAGTTCGTCGTCCAAGTCCTCATCCAGCACAGACACCTTAGGCTCGATTTCGTTATTCTCTTCTAGAATGGAACGCTTCTGGATGCGGGGCAGTATGATGTCGCAGACACGGTCGTTGCGCAGCAGTTCGTCTATGTACTCGTCCATGTAGACAATCTCGAACTGGCCTGCGCGATTCTGACGCCGCAGCTTTCGATTGTCGATGTACAACGGCTCCAGATACTTGTAGCAGTCCAGTGCGGCTCCTGTAAGCCGTAGATAGAAGGCTCCCAGGGCTCGCACGTACTTGAACTCCTCATTCTTGATAAACTCCACTACGATGTCCTTTTCCGGCTGAATCTGCAGCATCTTAAGAGTGAGGCAGAGAAACTGGGTGGGCTTAATGTTGCCGCCGTAGACACCTCCGACGAATCGCAGCTCCATTGCCTTGTCTACCAGAAGCTCCGCCGTCAGGGCAAAGCATTGCTCCTTCCAGTACTTAGAGTCATATATTCTCGAGCGGATGATCTTCTCGATGAGGTACTGCGGATTCGTTCCGTGCACGTTTTTGGCCTCCTTCACCGTGCGGTTGGCCATTTTCAGTTAAACCCTGGTTAGTTGTCAGCCGTAAGTCAGGAGGGACTTTTCAATCCCGAAATTCGGGTATCTGGCTATTGGCAGCAGCGCAAAATATGAAAATGCTGCGAATATATTTATTTATTTTTCGGCGTTTCTTAACCAGAGTGGCCAGCTGCCTAAGAGAGAAATATGCCTCTCCGACAAGCGAATACATAAAGGCGATAACGATAGCACACGGTAATCGGTATCGGGTGACGCATACGAACAACAGCTCCCAGACAACCAAGAAACGCAATAGCAGGAAAAACTCTATTTATTCGCTATATTCAGGTGAAAAGGCAGACCAGTCAGGATGAGTTTCTTCGGGAAGATGTTCGGTGGCAAGAAGGAGGTGGCCCCCACCACCGGCGAGGCGATACAGAAGCTGCGCGAGACGGAGAACATGCTCATCAAAAAGCAGGAGTTCCTGGAGGCCAAGATCGAGGACGAACTGAATATAGCCCGCAAGAATGCGTCCAAAAACAAACGAGGTATGCATGCAGTCCGCCGAGGTCCTTGGAGTCCTAGTTGGTCACTTAGATGGGCCAAGGGGAAATGACTCATTGCTTTGTTTTTGTTGCGGCCGCGAGGCCTCCTCCCAGTTAATCAGTATCCCATACTGCTAGCAACTAGAAAACTCAATAAACAATATGTATCTCTTTGCCCTTTTCACCCGCATACCATTCGATGCCTGGACGTGTCCGCAAATCGCTCAGAACGTAATATAAACATTCCTTTTAATACCCAAAACAAACACAAGCCATGCAGTAGAGTAATTTCAAACCACGCATTGCGAATTGGCCAAATCATAGTTCGAATATATGTATAATCCAGTCCTTGAAACCTTCTAATCCCTCCACTTGACACATTTTCAGTGGCATTGCAAGCACTCAAAAAGAAGAAGCGCCTGGAGAAGCAACTCCAGCAGATCGATGGCACCCTGTCCACCATTGAAATGCAACGAGAAGCTCTGGAGAGCGCCAACACGAATACTGCCGTCTTGACCACGATGAAGAATGCCGCGGACGCTCTCAAGTCAGCCCATCAAAATATGTGAGTCATGGATTTGTGCTATTATAACTGCCAAATACTAACTTTCACTTTCATGCAGGGATGTGGACAAGGTGCACGACATGATGGATGACATTGCCGAGCAGCAGGACGTGGCTCGAGAGATTTCCGATGCCATTTCCAACCCAGTGGCATTTGGCGCGGATCTCGATGATGAGGATCTCGAGCGGGAACTCGACGAGCTGGAGCAGGAGAACTTTGATAAGGAAATCATTGGCATCCCCGAGCCGACGCCCACATTGCCAGAAGCACCCACAGAAGATTTGCCCGAGAAGGCCAAAGAAAAGAAAAAGGCGACAACCACGAATGCAGTGGACGATGATGGTGAGTTTAGTCACCGCATTTGGGTCTACCTTCGATAATTAACGATTAACTTGCGTTACAGATGATCCAGTCATGAAGCAGCTAATATCCTGGTCCAATTAAATCAGAGAGCTATTGAAATCTCCTTACTGTTCTGAAGATTCACCCTATAGTTTTTGTTTTAATTAATAATCAATACTGTTAATTAAGCGAAATTTTAGTTCGAAGCGAGGGGAGAATACAAGGCATTAAATCCTTTGGCAATTCAACAAATGGTACACAACATAGGAATGTGATTTTAAAATAAACGAAATGAGCATAGTCACGCCACGCATCATAAACAGTAGGTATCAACGTAATTTCATATTTTATTTGTTTATATTTCCAACACGACTAAATGGCTCTGAATAACGCTGATCAGCCGTCAAGTGGATGCAGATGTATTATTCCAACAAACAAAGCTTTTTGATAAAACTAAAATATGTTTTGTGGCACTCATCTTTCCGCAGTCTTAGCTTTGTATTGAGCGATTCACGAAAATAAAAATATGAAGCCTCTTGACTGCAGATAACTCAGTAGTCGCAAGAGGCACAAAAAAAATAAGCCAATACATTTTAGTTTAAAACAGTTTTTGCTTATAAAACGGGTTTCGAATAAAACCTCTGGGAAGAAACCATCTGATCTGTGTTGTTTTTCAGATTTAAAAAATCCCACTAATCCAATCACTTTATGAATTTAAGTTGAATGCATTATTGTGTATAGTTTTATTGCAAATCGATCGGTTGTACATCAATATCATTTTAACTATGGCTTGGACAATCTACGTACTACGGACTTTGCTAGTTGGTGGTCAAGTAGGGTGGAAGGCGCTCAGGTCTGCTGCCTCAGACCCTTCACATACCGCACCGGAATCTCTGGCAGGTAAACGCAGACAAAGAACATCAGTGGTCCGAACGCAATCATGCAGACCAGCCAGTAGATGAAGCCTAGGATTGTGATGGCGTCCATATAGGAGGAGGGGATCGATCGGACAGCACGTACAAGTGCGGGGGTAGATGAATGTCTTGTGTAAAATTGTAAATAAATAACTAGTATCACTAAACACCGGACTCGGCCAATGGAGATGGTGCAACAAGGCAAAAGGCGGTTGTTGCCGCTGACGCTCCGATGTTCCTAATAGGGTATCAGATATGTATAGCTGCAGGTAACTTTAGACACGGATCGCGACTCATCCGTCTGGTGCTCCGATCCAAAATCGTCTGGTAATCTTCAAGCGCGCCACCTTAAATGAAATGAAACGAGAGACGTTATTGCCTCAATTGTGATATAGCAATTATCAACGCGATCGCGGATCTTACAGCGTGTTGAGACAATGCCCAATGGTAACTGCCCAGCTGCTCCACTGAATCACGCACTTATGTACACCACCTGGCAAGGCCCACGCCCAGATTGGTTATTTTCGGGGCTATCCCCGGCCACTCACATTCTCCGCGCACGGCTTCCTCAGCTGTTCGCAGCGCCAGTTAATTCGCAACTGATTCTTAACTGGTTATGCCGTTCCAGTCCAGATCCCCCCAAATCTCGCTCAGAACTCTGAACCAACCTGGCCGAGCGATCTACGCTCAAAGCCCGGGTGTTCAAGGTGAGCCAACGAATCTATGACCGCACAAACTGGTTTTCCAGCCCCTAGAGAACGTGGGCTACGCTCTTCAGGCATTTAATTAATTGCATTGCCCGAGCCTAACCCCTGTTCAATCGAAAATTGCAGGCATTGGACGGCTATCTGGTCTGAAATTACTGCACCCACCAAAGCAGTTTACTCATGGGCTACCACGGCTGATAAGGCGGTTGCAAGATAATCAAAATATTCCCTATGCCAAGTAAACAGAGCAATAAACCAGCACATGGTGTGCTTAGGAACTACTCAAAGAGGTGGTACTCGTATAAATGAGGAAACTTGGGACCTTGTGTGCTACTTGGCTGCCTTCTTTGACAACATTGGGGTCATTGATCGAGCCATTCAACTAGCTTACCCACTTCTTTGTTTACTTTCTATAAATAAAATAACATAAAATCAATTCCTTGATGGGGGAAACCAGCTTCCATGCTACAACAGGACTTACATGTTTTTGAAATCGTTCACCTATCATTTGAATCTTATCTTTAAATCGGTTCTATCGTCATCACTTAAAACAACTAAGCTAATCCACTATGAGTCAACCTATTTAGTCCTAAACTATTTTTTTGAGTTATCTGAGTAGTGGCATCTATTCTTACTCCCGATTTTCAACTGCCCAACGGGACAACAAATAAAGATGCCAGTTACATAAAATTGCGCCTATCTAATCTCGCCCTTAAAAGATAGTGCTTCTCGCCACACTCCAAAGATTCTAGAAAACAAACCAACTTACATGATGTAGAAGTAGTTGTCACTGTCCTTGCGCTTCACGTCGCACGGATTTCCGCTCTTGCTGGCGGTGGAGCTGGAAGGTCCTGGCTCGGGATCCGTGTGCTGGGAGCTGGTGCTCCAGCTGCGACCCCAGCGACTGGGGACAGAGGATCCGGGGACATTCGGCTGCCTGTTGCTGGGCAGGCTGCCATCTTTGCTGGAACCGGCGAAGAACGACTTGACGCTATCCATGGTGCGACCCTCGCTACAAATCTGGTTCCGATTGGCTGTGTATATGCGTCGAGCCTCCGCAGAAACGCCCGAAATTGATAAAGCTAAAAATATATATGTACATATATATACATCGGTGAAGACACCATAATTTATTTATTTTGACTGAAATCTTGTTTTTCGGTGGGCTCGTGCCCATACTCTTGCTGTTTCCAAGTAGAGGGATCTTGTCTTTCGGCTGTCGTACAGTGCACATTGAACTTATTTAAGGTGCGGCTGGAAAACAAGTCGAGCTATTGATAAGCTATTGGTATATGCACATCTATTATTATCGTATCTGTTCCAGGTGGGGTGGCCATCTTGGGCGTTTATACTTGTTTGTTTTTCCCCAATAGAGTCTTTGTACTTCATTTGGAGAGGAGATATAATATGTGCAGAGTATTCTCCATTTACGTAAAATGGCAACTAAGTAGAAAGTGCGACGCAGTTTTAGCTCGAATCGAGTGTGCGAATCAAAAGTATATGCATATGTACATATGTACAAGGTGTTGCCCCATACATATTATCAATTAGCAGTTCAGAACAGTTCACTGACTAAGCAGATCGCTGATAACGTGGTCGAGAATCGGCGGAAACACGCGTCGCCCTCGGGAGCCATGGGAAATAGTTAAGTTGTTTGGGATTCGGGCTCTCATCAATGGGTTAGTCGGCGTGGCCAGATAAGCGGGCTGCGGGCCTTGAAGACCAACAAATGCAAAGTGGACCGAGACTGATAACCGGACGAGGTCAGCCCATCGTGCCCATCCAACTGACCTACCTCAAATGCCCAGTTCACTCGTCTTCAACGGGATCGAAGGGTGCGACTCCTTGGGATTTACTCCACTCCACTTGCTTTGGCTCCGGTGGCTCCGGCTTCTTTCAGTGCAATCCCACGAAAAAACTTGATCACCTCCAGTCGCGAGGAGAGAACTGTGAACCGTTTTGCACAATGTCTGCGATCGCACTGAAAACGAAACAAGGCACGGCGTCGGCATCGAGTGTTTTTAGTTTTAATCAATTTGAAATGCGAAGGCGTCGGGTGTTGCCTCTGTGTGAGTGGCGACCACGCAGCTCATACACCGTAAGAAATGGTGGGGCTGAAATGGTTCAAGGTACAAGTTAGCGCAAATCGGAGTTACCAAGCTGAACTTCCTAAAAGCGTTTCCTTCCTAACTAGAGGAACATGGTTAGGTTAATTATAAACAAATAACTAGGTACATATGCATTCCGAAATAAGTCTGTTTTTCCAAGTGCTGCCATATGTTCGGCGTAGCAATGTGTTTTTCCAAGAGTTACATGGGGTGTTGGCAACGTCTGGAAAGCGTCTGGTTTCTTGTGGCATTGGTACCTGACTTTCCGAGGTTCTTCTAGTTTGTTTTGGTCGCTGTTTCTTTCAGGTGCTTCCAAACATGATTTTTGACTGTTTTGGCTGAATCTGTTTGGTGGTACACTTATGTACGTTCTACCTACATAGTACATCACAGATCAACCTTGTCATCGTCGCACTTCCGCCCTGGCTCTTTGTCTCACTTCTCTGTCTTGCCTAGTCTGCCTTTCCACTTTTGCCTTTTTATTGTGCTCCGATGCATGTTGATTGTCGTGGACTTTGCACCCTCAGTTTTCCGCTGTTGTAATGCTTGTTTTTACGCACTTACAGGGGAATAGTCGCCTAGGAAAGCACTCTGTATCTGTTTAATTGTTTTGGATTAGTCAGCTGATAACTCAGTAGAATTTTCATACTAATAGATTAATTAATTCCAATATATTAAATAGATAAACTGTATGATTCACTGTCCCAATTATGAATTGGCTGATATCTTTGAAAAAGTCATTAGACTCAAGCAAATCAACGATGCAATCTATTGTTTGTTTTGAAATGTTAAGAATTGATCAAATGTTGCTATGATTAATGGCTTATAAAATATTAAATGAACGGCAGTCTCATGGATCTAATTACAAGCTTCTTGGTGGTGCTTAAAACCAAACTTTTTTTTGGCAGATCGTCAAATACCAATAGAATCAATTTAAATTCAAATCGAGTGGCAGCTCCGATAACAGCCACAGCTGCTGCGACCAGGGCGGTACAGTGTGTGCTATCGCCCGATAACTTCTTTGTTTTGAACCCCCGGAAAAGCAACCCTGGGTAGGCTCTCGCCAATTGGAACTGCGAATATACTGACCGTATATATGTAAATGTTTATAATTAGCAATTTTTCTACGAAACAAACGATTGAATAATGCAGTTTTCTGCCCACTAAATGCCAAATACAACACACAGACTGCCAGCCACGAACGGTGATGTGATTAGAGTATTAGAGTAATCCAACGAAAACGCGAGTTCAGTTTAAATCAGAGAACGAAGTGCCAAACAAAGGGACTGCGAGCCCCCGAACCCAGTCCATATCCAATCATTATACTCGGTCCGTGACCTGCCGACGAGCCAGCGAGAACGGCAATAAGCATGGGCAACGCCAGCTCCACCGTGCACATGCAACGCGAGCGCCACAAGTCGACCGACTTGTCCACTCCGAGCTCTCCCGCACATTTCCGCGATTCAGTTGGCGGAGGAGGAGCGGCACAGGGCGGGAGTGCTGGCGCAGCAGCTCTGGTCGGTGCAGCGGGGGCGGCGGGTACTGCAGGGGGCGGAGGAGGCGGAGGCCAAGCTTTCTCGTTCGACAAAAAACATACGGCAGTCTTGAACGAGGGCTCGTCGCAAGAAGACGACGACCCGTACTATACGGGAACTGGAACTGGATCCACTAGACGAGGCACCGCCGACGACGCGACATCAGCTGTTCCCCGAGAGCACACCAGTATGGACAACAACGAGGAGGAGGACGCGGCGGCGGAGCCATCGACTGGATCTCAGTTAACCTGCGATGAGGACGACATCCGGAAAACGGCACTGCCCACCGTTCTGCGATGGGATGGAGGCGGCAAGAACGTAACCATTTCGGGTACATTCTCCAACTGGAAACCCATCACCATGGTGCGCAGCCACCAGAACTTTGTGACCATCATCGATCTGCCGGAGGGCGACCATCAGTACAAGTTCTGCGTGGACGGCGAGTGGAAGCACGATCCCAAGCTGGTCAGTTGGGCGGAAAATCAATATAGCAAGCTCATCACTTTCAGTGTTTTCAATTCGGGCGCCCGAATGACGCAGTTACCGATTTTCACCCCGCGGGTTGTGTAATCGTCGTAAACAAAACGAAGTCTCCCAGTAATCAGTAGTGGATTTCAATTGGGTTCAGAGATGCTCATCCAGCTTTAGCTATTTTGAAGGAACCCTTTTGAAGTGATTCATGAACTACAAATATATCTTAAGTTACGAGTTAGGCAAACTGCCATAAAACTTGTATATTACTAATCCGTGAAGACTTCGCTATTTTTGTGAGCACAATTTATCTCAGTGACTTTTGAGCATTACTATCTGGGCGGAAAAGAGCTGAACTATAGAAATATAAAACCTATTCTGGATAATAAATTCCCGATGTGATAAAATTATTGGGACTATGTCCCAATATTATAATTGAACAATTTTGAGCACGCGAAAAGCTTTGATCAGCATATGCATAACTTTTGTTTAAAAACCTAAAATCTTTATAAAGAATAGTTAACGAAGCACAACTCTTAAAAATAATTTGGCTCATTTGCCTTACTGGTATTTACATTAGTTAGCGAAACGAAAGCGAACTACTGAATAAACATAACCAACCAATTTTTGTGTATATAGCAAATGTTGTAAGCCAACAGTTGGTATTGAGTCGAAATTTGCTTAAAACAAATCGTCCCATAGCAACAACGATTCGGTAAATTAAGTTATAATAAAAGAAGGCATTGCTTGGGCACAATTTCATTCAGTATTGCCCAATTTTCGTTTTATCGCCAACTCAGCTATCATATTTCATAAGTTTTATTGAACTCAACCTAAGGCCCACAGATATTGTCCCCAATTATATTTGGGACCCGCCCATGAATAGCTGTTTACCCAACTATTGTTACAGACAATTTGATTAGAGCTTATCGGTTTGCTATTTCAGAAAAGCGTGGAGAATGACGAGGGGCAGAGAAATAACTTGGTGTCCGTGCGGGAATCCGATTTCGAGGTGTTCCAGGCCCTGGCCAAAGACAGCGAGAACGTGACCAACTATGCGGAGAAGGAGTACTCGCAAGAGGTGCCACAGGTGAAGCCCTGGGAGAAGGTATCTGGGCCGCCCGTCCTGCCGCCCCACCTGCTGCAGGTCATCCTCAACAAGGACACACCGCTATCGGTGGGTATTCTCAGTGCCTCGAGAATTAACTCCCTTAACGTTACCTTGTTCTGTTTCAGTGCGAACCCACTCTGCTGCCGGAACCCAACCACGTGATGCTGAACCACTTGTACGCACTGTCCATCAAGGATGGTGTCATGGTCCTGAGTGCCACGCACAGGTATCGCAAGAAGTACGTCACCACGCTGCTGTACAAGCCCATTTAGGCTACTCGCAATTGGTATTTTAGCTGTAGGAACATGGTTTTTATGAGGGGGTACGCCCGGAGCCTTTTTGAAGCGATACGGGAATACCTCGAGCCCAACACGTCTCGCTTGTCAAATTTACCTTATAATGCAGTAAAAGTGTTTTATTTTTCTCTCTATTAAGCGTTGTATTTTTATTAGTTATAAATATACGGAACTTGTAAAAATATAAGATTATTGCATTGTGTCATACATTTGTATTTGAATTTACTACGAATCGTAAAGCTAATTTGCAATTTCAACTTGATATGTCACTAATGTCACGATCTAACAGTAATTTAAGCAACTATGCATATTGACTGACAATTTGGTTCCCTGTTCGCTGTATATGAGAATAACAACACTTTGGATTTTGATCAACGTTTCATATCACATGTGTACGAAAGTCTTCGCTCACGAACATCTATCGGAATACATTCTCGAATATCTACGTGTTCAACTGGACAAAAACTGAGCTAGATAAGAGAACCAGCTTCACATCAGCTTGACCTTTTGGTCCAACTGATCGCTGTCTACCTTCTTGGCAAACAGCACCGGTGACGAGGAGGCCAGCGCCACCGTCTGCTTGGCTAAGAATCGCTCGTGCATCTTGTTGGCCGTGTGCTGGAACTCACCATCCTCGTCGAACAACGCCTTGGTAAAGTACTCCGTGAACAGGCGGCCCATGTACTGATCTTTGGTGGACGGCCACCAGCCCTCGAGGAAGCCGATGTGTCCGCCGCGAGCCGTAATCACGATTGCTACATGGGTGCATTGATTGGCCGCCTTAATGGGAATGGCATCCAGTGGCTGGAACGGATCATCAGCGGCACTTAGGCAGAGCAATGGCACCGAAATGTGATCGAGTTTGTTGTGCAGAGTGGCATCCGAGTAGTAGTCATTCACATGAGCATATCCGAACTGCTTAGCCGTGAAAAGCTCGTCGAACTCTTTGATGGTCTTGCAGCGCAAAATGCGCTGAATATCAATGTCAGAGTCCTGGTAAATATCCCTATAGATGTCCAGATGATTGCGCAAGGTGCGGCACAGACTTCCAGCCAAGTGGCGTCCCAGCAGGCTGTTGATCACTGGCTTTTCGATGCTGGCGCTGCCCTTGTGGACGTCCCACGGCACAGATATTATCTTTGCAGCCGATAGGAAGCTCCTGGCCTCATCGCTCTTTCGGGCTAGATAATTGCCCAGAATCAAGCCCCCCATTGAGATCCCAGTAGCCCCCAGCTTGCATTTTTCGGGCAAAGTACTTCGCACGTGCTGGACGACCTCGCACAGATCCTCGCAGTTGGCGGCGCAGTAAAGACGAGGTGTCTTCAGCTCTATGCCGCCGAGTCCGCGGTTATTAAACACCACCACTCGCATTCCAGCCTGCTGGGCGGCGAAGACCAGGCACTTGATGTACTCCGCCTGCGACTCACCGGTCAGACCTGGCAGGATGAGGATGCATGGAGCACTCGAATCGCAGCCTTCCTCCATCCAGTCCAGGGCCACTTCCCCGCCGTCTTTCAGCGAGAGAATCTCGCGGCGGTAGTTGACGCGCGGCAGACTCTTGGAGCGCAGCAGGCTCGCAAGGACGGT